CTACATGCTTTGAGCAGCTAATAAAGATGATTTTCAGACAGAACTAATTAATCATTAATTTTAAGATTAAACATAGCACACACAATAGCTGCGATCAGTAACGCATACCGACATAAGGTGAAGAATTTACGAAGGATAATTGAGTGTTAAATACGTTTATTGCATATTCATCATAATACCAAAACAGAACAATCAGATTTTTACTGTACACAGAATGGCATAAACAACAGACCAATTTTATAAATATGCATACCGTGACGACTGATGAGTAGTGCGTGATAAAGACAGAGATAAAACAAGATAACAATAGAAAAGGATAAGGGTGGTGGTCGAAAGGGGAACTGTTATACAAACGCAAAGAAATAAAGTAACATGAAACATAAGAGGAGGGAGTCTGGGGAGTGAAAGGGGCATTTTAAAATTGTTGCAAGCGACGAAGACCGTTTTTTAGCATCTTGGATGACTATGTGAGTCCTGCTTCCGCTGATAAACACTGTCTATCAACATCATCCTCAGTGATCAGCTATCGCTCGTTGTGGCGTCATGCCTAATCATCATCGTGGTGTCCAGTTCTGCAGGACAAATGTAGATTTCAGTAGAAACCTGGAAGATATCCGCAGTATCAAGCTTTTGCGTACTTCCAGAAGCCAGAACACGCTGTGACCATCCAGGTCCCATGAACTCAGGATACCTAACAAAAGCACTAGTGACAGAAAGTCCTGTTGAGACAGAAAAACGGCTTCGGGTGCACAGTACTCGATCATTCGTTGCCTAGATGCATCGAATGCGTCCCACCTGTTTTCAAATGGGATGGTCAGTCGACGATGACAGCTCTCTGGCCAATCTTTGTCAATCAGAGAAAACGGACAGTCGGTGCTGATCGTTGTTTCGAGCTACAGCATGGTATCGAGAGGCCGCGCAACACGTAGGGTGTTACGGGAATCTAATAAGAGTCGGGTTTTGCATTTCTGGGAATTGAAGTGCATGCCCAGTTGTGTAGCTGCTTCTTCCACGGACAATAGAATCTCGGCTAGGACTTCTACAAAACTACTGAACAAGGATAAGTCGTCCGCATAGGCCAGGGGCGAAAAGAACTGCTTGTAGCACGTGTAACTCAGATTATCTTCCAAGATAGCCCTAATGAGAGACTTCATGAAAATGCCGAAAAGATAGGTACTGCAGGGATCTACCTGCCTGACGACCGCCCACCGCGGAATATTGCGCGTGTGTGTTGTCGCTGTGGACTGCGCAAGAAATGTACTCATACATCTCTGAAGATATCCTGACAACATGAGCTAGCCCTGGGAGACCAACGTGCTTCAGAAAGCGTGTCAGCAACTCCAGTGAAACGAAGCCAAACGCATCCTGAATGTAGAGTCTGCCGATGAAGAGATCAGCCTTCGAAGTGCAGGGCGTGTCTAGGCGTAGTAACGCAAGTGAATTAATTTTTAGTGCATCCCTGTACTTGGTTAAAAAAACTTTTTGCACACTCAGCGGCAGTATGCCGTCGCTCCGCGACCCGTCAGCAAGCCAATACCGCGAAACCCAAAAGAACAACCGTAGGACGCAAGATTCGATTACGATGGCTTTGCACGAATCGATGTTGGCGTTTCAACAAAAAACATCGATTCTACCTCAATGGCCTTGGAAACGACTTTACCATGACAATGCTGGAAGAGACGGGTGAGGATTAAAGCCCGCTAGATCGTGCTGAGAATCCCATAGACTACTGTACCATAGCCCAGAACTGAGTTGCGCGTTCTCCGGAAGCAACTCTAGAACTCTGTTGTGAGTTTGTCCGTGCATCGTTATTAAGCTGCTCCTTGACGAAGCCAAGGCTGCTTCTAGCCTTATTGGAGCACTCACGGTAATTCATGAAGTAGACTCATGCCTTTTGCAGTGGACCTCGATACCCTGAGATGGATGGGCATGGCGGACCGCTTTCACCAAGCGGGTTGCAGATAGTAGCTCCTGCAGTACTCCTTTTGAAAGCGCGAGATGTCCCATGTATCCGTGCTTTTCTGTGGGTGGATGGGGTTGGGAGTCAAAATGGGAGATTGCGTTGTATGCAGGGAGAGCCGGAGGATCGTTTGTGACATCTTCGGTAATAGTGCTAAGTTCCGCCACGATGAGCTCCTTTTCGAGCCGGCGAAGAAATTTGCTCTGGGGGTTTTAAGAGTGGTCGCCAGGATAGCAGCATGCTTCAACGGCGCTGTCAAGTCAGCCAGAAGATTATAGGACTGAGCCCTCAAAGCAGACACCATCCCCGGAGCAAGATGATGCTCGAGGAACATGCAGCAAAGGGGACCGCAGTCGAAGCCATTCATTTGCAGTGTATTCCTTGAGCAGAATGATGTACCAGTCTTTCGCTCCGCAAGGGTTTTAGCCACCGTAGTGGTTTAGTGACAACAGACTTATCCTGCATTTGGAAGAAACATTTGCAACGCGTCGTCTTGGCAGGTGGGTTGAAAATCAGAAATTGCCAACGACCGTTGCAACAGAGCGGTCTGATGGTGTTGTCGCAGGATTGCTAGTCTGCTAGTCCTATGGGAAAGGAGATGAAAGTTTTGAAGTGCTGGGCATGTTAGTGAGATAGTAACAGAAGTAACGGATGTGGGGATGAGGACATATTACAGGTATATACGTTGAAGGTAACGTCGGTTAATCGATTCTGGGCAGGGATCTAGCAGAGATCAGCCTCACAGAGTCGCTCCCGTCAGTCGTAGAGATACGGTCGCCAGACGGTGGATTTTGGGTTGAAGCATTATGGGGATCAATGAAGGAAGGGAATGAGGCTTGGGCTAGACAAGGACGATTTGCCATGGCATTGGTAACTGTAACCGTAAGAAATGGTTATATAATGTACAACATTTGGCCACCGCTTTGTCAAACATTTGCCTGTTCTAGGCCAGAGAAGTCATTCAGAATATACTATTTCTTTCAATTTTATCGGTGATATGATATGATTAAGCGTTACTATAGTTTTTTAGAGAAAGAAGGAGCAGCAGTCTTTCAGTACCGCGTCTGTTGTTATGGCGCAATAATAATCAGCAACACATTTTTTAACGTTTAGACTCGTAGAACAAACGCAGTAATAATACCGCCTAAATAAATAAAGGAAGGCAAATGTTTATTACCTCTAAAACAATAAGGAACTGATAATTTAAGCTTCTTTGACAACGATTTTGTTTCTTCAAAGTTAACTTGCAGACAGTTTCTTGAAGAAGTTAATAACAGCTGAAACTCTACGTCTGACGCTGTCTGGAGTTAGATTTGAACAATCATATGCATCTAAGCATTTCAAACTAATTCAACTGAAAAGACTTGTTAAGATGCAACAGAGCAACACTTAATAACTAACATCGAATAAACATTGCAAAAATGGCTATTAAGACAAAACGCACCGTTCATATGATCTCTGAATTCCAGCACAGCTCGTCGAGCGATGCGATGGCGTAATTCTGCAGCTGGATTCGAAACCTCGTCGTTCTGGTAGATTACTTTTTCGATTGGCGTTTTCTCTTGGCTTTGGACAATCCGATGTACGAAGAGACCGGGTACATGGACATCGTTTGGATCCAGTTCACCGGCCTGGACAATTTTCTCAGCTTCGACGATGCAAAGTTTGGCCGCCTTACACACGTCGGGATTGAGGTTCCTCGCTGTTTTCCTAAAATAAATCAGCTGTAGAAATTTGAGCTGATAGGAAATCATGAAATCCAAGACAGTGTACGATAATTAAAATAGTCGTATCAAAAATTGATCGTTCTTTGCTGGAAAATGCCGAGAGGCATCAGAGAGCGTAAAAATTGTTTAAATTCGGTGATAGCAGTCGACTGCAAAGCTGATCTAACTTAATCGCTGTCTTGCACTAGAAACCAAATGAGAATCTTCCTTTTCATTCACTCATAGGAAAGTTTTCATAGGTATTTTATCGCTCTGCAATGGTTCTCTGGTATGAAAATTCGATGCACTCATATCAACAAAAAAGTAGCAAAGTTCGGCATATTAAACCGACATCTAAAGTACCGGGAACATGAGCTAGATGGCAGAAGGTTTTGAAACCAATCATGCCACGATGTTTAGTGGGAGTGATGTATTTCATTCTTTCGTCAAGCAATGTTATTCAACATAAGTAAACAACATCAACGAACCATAGCTAATCACGGAAAACAGTAAACAAAGTCTTCGGTACATGCGTAGTTCTTATTCAAGAATCACTACTCCAACAAAACTTCGTTTGCAACTTCTTGAAACATAAACTGATTCAGAAGCGACACATCTCTCCAATTACATCAAATATCTGGCAATCTAAGGGAAAATGTGTCTGAAAATTGAACTATATGTATATTTTAGAAACGTTAGCGCATATAAAAATCAGTGTGACTTTTCTTAGGCTGAAGGGAGTTGCCAATAAGTGCTAAAGTTAATAAGCTTTAACCGATTGATAAAAATGGCACGTAAATTTGTCTGTAAGTTGAAGTGGCATAGTTAAAACATTTACATGCTTTATACCACAGCTCTCGGAAGAAAGCTTGAAAAAATCTGGAGAAAGTCAAGAAACTGTACCACTTATCTTCGTTCATACCTCTTGTAAATCGTCTGTACTTTAGTAGATCCAATAATCAGAAGCTACAATTCATAAAAACAATTTCAGACCCTTTTACTAGTAGCCTAATGCAACATGAATGAGCATATGAGCACAGCAATTATCCATAACCAAACGTGTCATTCCGCAGAATATGGTTTCTTAAAGTTGATAAAGCGCTGTTACTTACGAAAGAATAACTTTCTGCAATAGCAGCTGGTTGCTCAAGTACATGGGAAATTAATTATGAAGTGAAACTGATATTATAACTCATAAAGAAAAATAACGACCAATAAAGTTTCACACAGACCTGCGAAATCAGGAATAATGACATTTCCCAAACTTGTACATTGGCTTCGTCAAACAGCTGAATGCAGGAAGGTATTTATCGGCATTATCGATAAAATGCATGAACAAATTACGGATGGATCGCAGATTTCAATAAATTAAAGATTTATCTACAATGTTTAGCTGATTGGTCCAATGAAGAACACGGACCTCTAAATATTTCAATTAAATTTAAGAAATGAAGAATCAGCAAACCGAAACCTCTGACATAATGAAATGAGTACATCTTCTATAACAGTTTCAAGTACCTGAAGACGAGATTTCCGTCTGTGTCTGCCATCCACGCCTTGACGAACGCGACGTCACCAAACAGAGCTTCTTCTAGTAAATATGGTACCCCGTTGAAAATTCGCTTTTCTTTCCTGTCGGTAATTTCAGTCACCTCTCCTTTATCGTTATATTTAACCGGCCATCCACCTTCTTCGACTAATGTGGACGACCCCACTGGACAGTAGAAGGCGGGTACGCCTGCACCCGCGGCACGTATTCTCTCCGCCAACGTACCCTAATACAGCGACATCGTGTATCACATTCTGCAGCTAGTGAGGTAACAACAGAATGTAAAATAAAAATTTTAATTTATTCAAGAATATGCATTTATATGGGTCAACGTACTTATATATTAAATTAATTTTTAAATTCGGGCTTAATTACTAAGACTCAACATTAGAATCAAAGCTGTAATGGTGCAACCCGTGAAGCAGCATATGAAAATTAACTGAGGCATGGAAATGGAGAACGATATATGAAAAGCGATATAAGTTAATCAAAGTTCGACGAAGTACATACGATCCTGTCGGAGTTAGGAGGAAGGATTTGCAAAGAAAGTGATACAGTAAGACAATTCTTTATAGTTGCAATGTTTTATTATTATTATCACTATTACCGAGACAAAAAGACTAGTGGACAAGTCATTCATTATAAGACGAACGAGGAGTTTATACACAAAGTATGTCATATTCACGCTTATAGCAAGGCGAATGGACAAAACTTAGAAAAAAAACTAAAGAAAATCCACTACTTCAATGCCAACAAAATCTGCATCCAACACAGTTTCAGAGAACACTGCCAGTTTGATA